AGCAGAGCAAGCAGAGCAAGCAGAGCAAGCGAATCCCAAATCACATACCAAGCGCCATAATCTCAGCTTCAGAAAGCTCGCGGTGCTCCAGCAGGACATTGTCGAGACGGCCGTTAAAGTAGAGAGCGCTCGAAGTGCCAACGCTGCGACGACCAATGTCAATGGCATCGAGCAAGACGAGACCAGCCAGGTCCAAGTCTGTGGCAGAGGCCACTGGGGCACCATCCACGTAGATGTTGGCCTGACCATCGACGCTGAGTGTGTAGGCAACATGATGCCACTGACCATCATTGACGGGGGCCACCACGCCAGGCCCACCCACAATCTGCTGTGAGAAGCCATCGTAAACAAAGACTTGAGGGCAGCCCTGGACCAGGCGGAACTCATAGCTCATGACACCACCAACAGCCGAGTGACCATATGACAGAAGCGACATGGCCTGAAGCGTGGCGTCTGACTTGAGCCAGAGTGCTCGTGTCTCGCCCGAGCTAGAGAGACCGACGCAGGGCAGGGTGACATGGGATGTGGTGCCTGCGTCCAGGGCAAGGGCATAGGTACCAATGCGCGCATCCGGGGTGAAAGCGGCACCACCACGGAGGAGGCCGTTTCGCTGGTAAGTTGAAGAGTCAAAGGCTGTGGTGCCTGTGCCTGCCTCAAACAGCCACATGCCTTGTAGGGAGGCTGCAGGCGTTGTGGTTGTACTTTGAGTAGTAGTAGTAGTAGCAGCAGCAGTAGTAGTAGTAGTAGTAGTAGTAGTAGTAGTAGTAGTAGTAGTAGTAGTAGTAGTAGTAGTAGTAGGTGTGTTGGTGGTGGTAGTCTGGGTGGTGGTGGCGGTTGATGTTGAAGGGGGCGATGAAAGAGTTGGGCCAGTGGTGGTCATGGTGGCTGAGCCCGTGGTCGATGTGGGGGGCGCGGTGGTGGTGCTTCCATCCCCGCTGCCGTCGGGAGCAGTGGTGGTGGTGGTGCTCTCAGTCGTGGTTACGGGAGCGGCGGTTGTCGTAGCGGTGGTGGTGGTGGTGGTGGTGGTGGTGGTGAGATCAGCCGTTGAGGTGGTAGGAATGGTGGTCGTTGTCGTGGGAGGGAAGGCTATCGTGGAGGGAAGGTGAGCACGCGCAACAGGAGAAAAGAAAGGTAAGAGAAGCAGAGCAAGCAGAGCAAGCAGAGCAAGCGAATCCCAAATCACATACCAAGCGCCATAATCTCAGCTTCAGAAAGCTCGCGGTGCTCCAGCAGGACATTGTCGAGACGGCCGTTAAAGTAGAGAGCGCTCGAAGTGCCAACGCTGCGACGACCAATGTCAATGGCATCGAGCAAGACGAGACCAGCCAGGTCCAAGTCTGTGGCAGAGGCCACTGGGGCACCATCCACGTAGATGTTGGCCTGACCATCGACGCTGAGTGTGTAGGCAACATGATGCCACTGACCATCATTGACGGGGGCCACCACGCCAGGCCCACCCACAATCTGCTGTGAGAAGCCATCGTAAACAAAGACTTGAGGGCAGCCCTGGACCAGGCGGAACTCATAGCTCATGACACCACCAACAGCCGAGTGACCATATGACAGAAGCGACATGGCCTGAAGCGTGGCGTCTGACTTGAGCCAGAGTGCTCGTGTCTCGCCCGAGCTAGAGAGACCGACGCAGGGCAGGGTGACATGGGATGTGGTGCCTGCGTCCAGGGCAAGGGCATAGGTACCAATGCGCGCATCCGGGGTGAAAGCGGCACCACCACGGAGGAGGCCGTTTCGCTGGTAAGTTGAAGAGTCAAAGGCTGTGGTGCCTGTGCCTGCCTCAAACAGCCACATGCCTTGTAGGGAGGCTGCAGGCGTTGTGGTTGTACTTTGAGTAGTAGTAGTAGTAGCAGCAGCAGTAGTAGTAGTAGTAGTAGTAGTAGTAGTAGTAGTAGTAGTAGTAGTAGTAGTAGTAGTAGTAGTAGGTGTGTTGGTGGTGGTAGTCTGGGTGGTGGTGGCGGTTGATGTTGAAGGGGGCGATGAAAGAGTTGGGCCAGTGGTGGTCATGGTGGCTGAGCCCGTGGTCGATGTGGGGGGCGCGGTGGTGGTGCTTCCATCCCCGCTGCCGTCGGGAGCAGTGGTGGTGGTGGTGCTCTCAGTCGTGGTTACGGGAGCGGCGGTTGTCGTAGCGGTGGTGGTGGTGGTGGTGGTGGTGGTGGTGAGATCAGCCGTTGAGGTGGTAGGAATGGTGGTCGTTGTCGTGGGAGGGAAGGCTATCGTGGAGGGAAGGTGAGCACGCGCAACAGGAGAAAAGAAAGGTAAGAGAAGCAGAGCAAGCAGAGCAAGCAGAGCAAGCGAATCCCAAATCACATACCAAGCGCCATAATCTCAGCTTCAGAAAGCTCGCGGTGCTCCAGCAGGACATTGTCGAGACGGCCGTTAAAGTAGAGAGCGCTCGAAGTGCCAACGCTGCGACGACCAATGTCAATGGCATCGAGCAAGACGAGACCAGCCAGGTCCAAGTCTGTGGCAGAGGCCACTGGGGCACCATCCACGTAGATGTTGGCCTGACCATCGACGCTGAGTGTGTAGGCAACATGATGCCACTGACCATCATTGACGGGGGCCACCACGCCAGGCCCACCCACAATCTGCTGTGAGAAGCCATCGTAAACAAAGACTTGAGGGCAGCCCTGGACCAGGCGGAACTCATAGCTCATGACACCACCAACAGCCGAGTGACCATATGACAGAAGCGACATGGCCTGAAGCGTGGCGTCTGACTTGAGCCAGAGTGCTCGTGTCTCGCCCGAGCTAGAGAGACCGACGCAGGGCAGGGTGACATGGGATGTGGTGCCTGCGTCCAGGGCAAGGGCATAGGTACCAATGCGCGCATCCGGGGTGAAAGCGGCACCACCACGGAGGAGGCCGTTTCGCTGGTAAGTTGAAGAGTCAAAGGCTGTGGTGCCTGTGCCTGCCTCAAACAGCCACATGCCTTGTAGGGAGGCTGCAGGCGTTGTGGTTGTACTTTGAGTAGTAGTAGTAGTAGCAGCAGCAGTAGTAGTAGTAGTAGTAGTACTAGTAGTAGTAGTA